TCATCATCATCATCATCATCATCATCATCATCATCATCATCATCATCATCATCATCATCATCATCATCATCATCATCATCATCATCATCATCATCATCATCATCATCATCATCATCATCATCATCATCATCATCATCATCATCATCATCATCATCATCATCATCATCATCATCATCATCATCATCATCATCATCATCATCATCATCATCATCATCATCATCATCATCATCATCATCATCATCATCATCATCATCATCATCATCATCATCATCATCATCATCATCATCATCATCATCATCATCATCATCATCATCATCATCATCATCATCATCATCATCATCATCATCATCATCATCATCATCATCATCATCATCATCATCATCATCATCATCATCATCATCATCATCATCATCATCATCATCATCATCATCATCATCATCATCATCATCATCATCATCATCATCATCATCATCATCATCATCATCATCATCATCATCATCATCATCATCATCATCATCATCATCATCATCATCATCATCATCATCATCATCATCATCATCATCATCATCATCATCATCATCATCATCATCATCATCATCATCATCATCATCATCATCATCATCATCATCATCATCATCATCATCATCATCATCATCATCATCATCATCATCATCATCATCATCATCATCATCATCATCATCATCATCATCATCATCATCATCATCATCATCATCATCATCATCATCATCATCATCATCATCATCATCATCATCATCATCATCATCATCATCATCATCATCATCATCATCATCATCATCATCATCATCATCATCATCATCATCATCATCATCATCATCATCATCATCATCATCATCATCATCATCATCATCATCATCATCATCATCATCATCATCATCATCATCATCATCATCATCATCATCATCATCATCATCATCATCATCATCATCATCATCATCATCATCATCATCATCATCATCATCATCATCATCATCATCATCATCATCATCATCATCATCATCATCATCATCATCATCATCATCATCATCATCATCATCATCATCATCATCATCATCATCATCATCATCATCATCATCATCATCATCATCATCATCATCATCATCATCATCATCATCATCATCATCATCATCATCATCATCATCATCATCATCATCATCATCATCATCATCATCATCATCATCATCATCATCATCATCATCATCATCATCATCATCATCATCATCATCATCATCATCATCATCATCATCATCATCATCATCATCATCATCATCATCATCATCATCATCATCATCATCATCATCATCATCATCATCATCATCATCATCATCATCATCATCATCATCATCATCATCATCATCATCATCATCATCATCATCATCATCATCATCATCATCATCATCATCATCATCATCATCATCATCATCATCATCATCATCATCATCATCATCATCATCATCATCATCATCATCATCATCATCATCATCATCATCATCATCATCATCATCATCATCATCATCATCATCATCATCATCATCATCATCATCATCATCATCATCATCATCATCATCATCATCATCATCATCATCATCATCATCATCATCATCATCATCATCATCATCATCATCATCATCATCATCATCATCATCATCATCATCATCATCATCATGATGATGATGATGATGATGATGATGATGATGATGATGATGATGATGATGATGATGATGATGATGATGATGATGATGATGATGATGATGATGATGATGATGATGATGATGATGATGATGATGATGATGATGATGATGATGATGATGATGATGATGATGATGATGATGATGATGATGATGATGATGATGATGATGATGATGATGATGATGATGATGATGATGATGATGATGATGATGATGATGATGATGATGATGATGATGATGATGATGATGATGATGATGATGATGATGATGATGATGATGATGATGATGATGATGATGATGATGATGATGATGATGATGATGATGATGATGATGATGATGATGATGATGATGATGATGATGATGATGATGATGATGATGATGATGATGATGATGATGATGATGATGATGATGATGATGATGATGATGATGATGATGATGATGATGATGATGATGATGATGATGATGATGATGATGATGATGATGATGATGATGATGATGATGATGATGATGATGATGATGATGATGATGATGATGATGATGATGATGATGATGATGATGATGATGATGATGATGATGATGATGATGATGATGATGATGATGATGATGATGATGATGATGATGATGATGATGATGATGATGATGATGATGATGATGATGATGATGATGATGATGATGATGATGATGATGATGATGATGATGATGATGATGATGATGATGATGATGATGATGATGATGATGATGATGATGATGATGATGATGATGATGATGATGATGATGATGATGATGATGATGATGATGATGATGATGATGATGATGATGATGATGATGATGATGATGATGATGATGACGATGATGATGATGATGATGATGATGATGATGATGATGATGATGATGATGATGATGATGATGATGATGATGATGATGATGATGATGATGATGATGATGATGATGATGATGATGATGATGATGATGATGATGATGATGATGATGATGATGATGATGATGATGATGATGATGATGATGATGATGATGATGATGATGATGATGATGATGATGATGATGATGATGATGATGATGATGATGATGATGATGATGATGATGATGATGATGATGATGATGATGATGATGATGATGATGATGATGATGATGATGATGATGATGATGCTGATGATGATGATGATGATGATGATGATGATGATGATGATGATGATGATGATGATGATGATGATGATGATGATGATGATGATGATGATGATGATGATGATGATGATGATGATGATGATGATGATGATGATGATGATGATGATGATGATGATGATGATGATGATGATGATGATGATGATGATGATGATGATGATGATGATGATGATGATGATGATGATGATGATGATGATGATGATGATGATGATGATGATGATGATGATGATGATGATGATGATGATGATGATGATGATGATGATGATGATGATGATGATGATGATGATGATGATGATGATGATGATGATGATGATGATGATGATGATGATGATGATGATGATGATGATGATGATGATGATGATGATGATGATGATGATGATGATGATGATGATGATGATGATGATGATGATGATGATGATGATGATGATGATGATGATGATGATGATGATGATGATGATGATGATGATGATGATGATGATGATGATGATGATGATGATGATGATGATGATGATGATGATGATGATGATGATGATGATGATGATGATGATGATGATGATGATGATGATGATGATGATGATGATGATGATGATGATGATGATGATGATGATGATGATGATGATGATGATGATGATGATGATGATGATGATGATGATGATGATGATGATGATGATGATGATGATGATGATGATGATGATGATGATGATGATGATGATGATGATGATGATGATGATGATGATGATGATGATGATGATGATGATGATGATGATGATGATGATGATGATGATGATGATGATGATGATGATGATGATGATGATGATGATGATGATGATGATGATGATGATGATGATGATGATGATGATGATGATGATGATGATGATGATGATGATGATGATGATGATGATGATGATGATGATGATGATGATGATGATGATGATGATGATGATGATGATGATGATGATGATGATGATGATGATGATGATGATGATGATGATGATGATGATGATGATGATGATGATGATGATGATGATGATGATGATGATGATGATGATGATGATGATGATGATGATGATGATGATGATGATGATGATGATGATGATGATGATGATGATGATGATGATGATGATGATGATGATGATGATGATGATGATGATGATGATGATGATGATGATGATGATGATGATGATGATGATGATGATGATGATGATGATGATGATGATGATGATGATGATGATGATGATGATGATGATGATGATGATGATGATGATGATGATGATGATGATGATGATGATGATGATGATGATGATGATGATGATGATGATGATGATGATGATGATGATGATGATGATGATGATGATGATGATGATGATGATGATGATGATGATGATGATGATGATGATGATGATGATGATGATGATGATGATGATGATGATGATGATGATGATGATGATGATGATGATGATGATGATGATGATGATGATGATGATGATGATGATGATGATGATGATGATGATGATGATGATGATGATGATGATGATGATGATGATGATGATGATGATGATGATGATGATGATGATGATGATGATGATGATGATGATGATGATGATGATGATGATGATGATGATGATGATGATGATGATGATGATGATGATGATGATGATGATGATGATGATGATGATGATGATGATGATGATGATGATGATGATGATGATGATGATGATGATGATGATGATGATGATGATGATGATGATGATGATGATGATGATGATGATGATGATGATGATGATGATGATGATGATGATGATGATGATGATGATGATGATGATGATGATGATGATGATGATGATGATGATGATGATGATGATGATGATGATGATGATGATGATGATGATGATGATGATGATGATGATGATGATGATGATGATGATGATGATGATGATGATGATGATGATGATGATGATGATGATGATGATGATGATG